CATCGATGGCTCGGATCTTCCCCCAAGAATGGAGATAGACAGATACATAGATAGATAGATAGATAGATAGATAGATAGATAGATAGACAGACAGCTGATATATGACTAGCGAGATCAGGTACTGGGTGCTGTATGATTAGGCAGAAAGCTGAAGAAAGATCTGACAATTTGGCTTTCCTGAGCTGAGCTCATTTATATGTGGTCTCTCTTGATCACATGCATTCTGAGTGCAGATGACTTTCAAACTTTAATTATTCTCCTTGGAAGTCATATTTCTTTAGAAGAGAATTACAGACTATGGGGCACTCAGAGGAAGAAAAGTTCCAAAGCCAACTGTTTAAAAGCCAGAGGCCTTTAAAGGCCAATGTATGAAATTGGAAGGTATTTCATCAGAAATGAAGATTAGACAAGGGTCAGAAAACTACAGCTCGCTAGCCAAATTTGGCCAGCTGTCTACTTCTTTTTGTAAATAAGGGTTTACTGGACCAGAGTCATGCTTATTCATTTACGTGTTTAACTTTGGCTCTGTTTGCCCCACAACTGCAGAGCATATGGCCTAAAAGGCCTAAATTATTTACTATCTGGGCATTTAATAGGAAAACTTTGAGCACTCCTGAATTAGAGCATACAAATGAGACTCCATTTTATTTTAACAGTGAAACATCCAACCATGAATCAGTGTGAATTCACAAAAGAGCACTCAGTGCAGCCAGAACTCTACCAAGTTCTGCTTGTGTAGGACTGCATCAGACTCCTTGTAGCATCTTCTCTCAAAAAAACCTCTCGCCCACACTGCACTCTGGATGTTCTATTTGCAGCTTGCCATTGCTTTCCACCTCTCAAGAGCTTGCTTCCCGTACATTCTCCCTCCCTGCTGCCCCAACATGGTGTGTGTTATGTGTAGTGCCATACTTGCATGCTATGATATTTAGGAAATGCTGCTGTGTTTTTAAGACTCCACAGGAGGGTCGCCTGGGTGGATCAGTTGGTTGGGTGACCGACTTCGGCTCAGGTCATGATCTCACAGCTCGTGAGTTCGAGCCCCACGTTGGGCTCTGTGCTGACAGCTCGGAACCTGGAGCCTGCTTCGGATACTGTGTCTCCCTCTCTCTGTCCGTCCCCTGCTCACACACTGTCTCTCTCTGACTCTCACGAAAATAAACATTAAAAAAAAAAAAAAAAGACTCCACAGGAATCATCACCTGCTTCCTCAGGAAGTGTATTCTGGAACTGTTTGCATTCTTCACTACTTACAGTTTTGTTTTGTTTTGCTTTGTTTTTTAGAATTGCATATATTCTTGAAAATCTTTCATTCACCAGAGAAGCTGGGGAAATTATTTAGATGATACTACATAGAGCTGTATTAAGGTCCAGTCTGCAAAGAAATTTCTCTTAGAAATCATATATGAAATTCTAATTCTAAAATAAGCTGAAAAATGCAAATGACAGAAATGAGAGCTTACAATCTGAGGCCCAGAGGAATGGATATATTTTGACAGTGACAGCACATCTGGAAAAGCTGAGGAAATGATGTACCTTTGTAAACACTTGAGTGTTGATACTTTTCTGTCAATTCATAGGAATGTACGAAGACATTTAATCTGATGTTTATTTTACCAAAGATTTTTTTCACTGTAATTATAATTATAAATATGCTGTTAAATAGGCAATAGAGTGGAGATTATAAATAATGCTTCCTTGCAAAACTTATGAACTTATGAAATATTCTCCTTCCATCTTTTCTTGTCCAAAACAGTGCCTGGAATATAGTAGACACTCAACAAATTATTGAATGAATGAATGAAAATTAAGGTCATGTATCATTTGGTATAAATGCATTGGAAAAAAATCTATATTTGTCTGGGATTATCATTCTTAAATACATTTCTGACTGGATATTTTTTGTTTTTTGTTTTTTTTTGTTAAAGAATCACTTAAAATCAGATTATTTCCAAGGGAAACATTTGTACAGCATGCAAGAAAAAAATGTCTAACCTAATTCAAACTCCTGTGCATAGTTCCCCTGGCAAGAAGTCATGGAAGGACTCCACTTATATATTTGTTTTTAGTATGTGCTGCACTGCTTATAAGCCAAGAGGAGCTGGCTTATTAAAAATTAACAATGCCAATAAAGACAGATAAATGGGCTCATGTAACAGAAGAGAGTCGATAAATATATGGTTGGTTCACATATGCAGTCAATTGATTTTTGACAAAGATGCTAAGGCAATTTATGGAGGGAGGAAAATCTTTTAAACAAAAGGTGGTGGAACATTTGGATACATGTCAGGGAAAAGCTAATATCAGCTCTTTACTTTTACCACACATGAAACTTAAATCAAAATGGCTCAGAGAACTAAATATAAAAATTATAATATATGAAATGTACAAGTATAAAAGCTATAAAGCTTCTAGAAGAAAGCAATTAGGAGAATATCTTCATGACCTCGATAGATACAAAGATTTCTTAGACAAAACATAGAACAGCACTAAACTTAAAAGAAACAGCATTCAAAGTTTTCTTTCATATAAATTAGAAACTTCTGCTCTTTAAAAACCACCATTGAGAAAGTTAAAAGCCAAGCTACAGATTGGAAAGAAATGTTTATGAGACATATATTTGAAAAGGATTTATATCACATATATATGATATATATACACACACATACATAACATATGTACATGTATCTATGAACAAATTTATATCACATATATATGATATATATACACACACATACATAATATATGTACATGTATCTATGAACAAATTTCAAACAACCCAATTTTTTAAAATGGGCGAAAGCTTTGAACAAACTCTGCACAACAGAAAAAGTGTAAATAGTCCATACATTCATGAAGTAAATTCAACATCATTAACTGTCAGTCATTAGCTAAATGCAAACTAAAACCAGAAATACTACACAATAGGATGGCTAAAATTAGAAAGGTTGCTAACACTAAGTGTTAGTGTTAGTGGTAAATGGAAATACCAGAACTCCCTTACATGCTTGGGAGGGCTTGTGAAATACATAAAGACTCTGGAGAACAGTTTGGCAGAATCTCACAAAGTTGAGCCTACACCTACTTACTGACATGGACTTTTGTCCCTAAATAATTACCCAAAAGAAGTGAAAACATATGTCCACAAAAGACATGTACAAATGTTTAAAGCAGCTTCTGCTCTTAATGGTGAAAAATTTAAGAAACCACACAAGTGTACGTCAACAGGTAAGCAAGTAAACAAATTATGGAATATTCACACAGCAGAGTATTACCCTGCAATATTACCCTATAATATTACCTAAAATATTACATGAAACCCTAGAATGGGCAAAGCTGATCTGCAAGTGGCAGAAAATAGATTGGTGATTGCTCGCAGGTGGACAGATGGGTGGGTGGAGACTGCACTACAAACATTAATGGACGTGTTCTCATACTGATATAATTGGTGGGTGGATGGATGTAATCATTTGTCACAACTCCTCAAACTGTGTACTTAAAATGTGCACATATTACTGGATGTGAGTTACACATTGGTAAAGATGGTATAAACAAGAAAGGAAGTCTCTAAAAGGAACAAAGAATGCGAACTTAATAAAAGCAAAATACCAGTCTCCAACCAAGCTCACGTAAAAATGCTCAGCTTCATTAGTCGGGGAAACGCAAATGATAACCACAGCGACATATCATTTCCCCATTATAAAGTTAAACATACATCTACTTCAATTTCTATCCTAGGTCTGAACCTAAGAAACAGGAGAATATATGTCTACCAAAACACTTGTGCGAGAAAGGATATAGCAACTTTAGTTATAGGAAACCCAAGCTAGAAATAAGCCAAATATTAACGAATAGGAGAATAGGTAAACAAATGCGGAATAATCCTATAATGTATTAACACTCCCCTATAAAAAGAATTGAACCAGTAATACACATAGAAATATGGGATGATCTCAAAAACATTCCACTGAGTCTAAGAAGTTAGATTCAAGAATACACACCGTGTGAGTCTATTCATATGAAGTTCATGGACAGCCAAATCATTCTCTAGTGATAGATATCAGAACATGGGTGCTCACAGAAAGATGATTGACTGGAAAGGATATGAAGAAACTTTCTGGGGATAGAAATGTCCTGTTTCTTGATTAAGGTGATGGTTTACATGGTTATATATATATATTTGTTGAACCCACTGACTTTGGAACTTGAATTTAAGAACTTAAGATTAGTTACATTTCTCCATGTACATTTCATCTCAATAAAAAAATCTGCCAAATCAGTTGAGTAACTATAGCCTTTATCACCCCTTTTTCTTTCAAGGATAATTTGGTTAATACACATATAATCCTAGATTAACATAAAACATATTTTTTCTACCTTTCTTTGAAGAAAATTATTTTTAAATAATTACAGGTTTCAATACTATTATTGCTTCCAATGGAATTTGGTTCTCTTTTATTATTTTTTTTTTATTTTTTTTTCAACGTTTATTTATTTTTGGGACAGAGAGAGACAGAGCATGAACGGGGGAGGGGCAGAGAAAGAGGGAGACACAGAATCGGAAACAGGCTCCAGGCTCTGAGCCATCAGCCCAGAGCCCGACGCGGGGCTCGAACTCACGGACCGCGAGATCGTGACCTGGCTGAAGTCGGACGTTTAACCGACTGCGCCACCCAGGCGCCCCTATTTGGTTCTCTTTTAGCCATTAAAATCTGTAATCCATAGCCAGCATCATCCAATAAAGTAAAATGATATTTGTTATTTTGTGTAGCAGTACTTGTTTTTTTTATTCAATGATTATTTTATTTTAGATTCCTTTTCTCTAGTGAGAAAGTATTTGCTTTTTCACTAGAGAATAACAGTGAGTATAACAGTGAGACAGAAGTGGAGATCAGGATTACCTAAAATAAGAATCTATTATTAGTTGAAAGGTATGGTTGGAGACTGATTGATTTGTTAGACAACAGAGAAAAAGCATGCCTTCCCAGAGAGAGCCTCACCTTGTAATATTCGTTTTCACCTTTCTACTGTGGCTTTTAGCACGGCCAGCTGAGCCCCTCAGGGAGGGGGCTGGTGGAAACGGGCAGAATTAGCTCCAGGATTCACATTCCCTCTTGCAAGAATTCTTACAGTGTGTGCAGCTGCTTGAAAGGGGAGCCCCAGCCTTTGTCGCCTAGAGGTATCCTGGCAACCTGTCAACAAAAGGGATACGACTGAGTTCTCTAGTAACGGATTGGAAAGATCCACAACAAGGGGTGAAGGAACTTGGAAACCAACAATAAAATAGGTATGGATTTCAGCTTTCTTTTAAGGTGACTCCAGGAACTTTACCAATGGACTAAGCATCCAACAAGGAGAGAGGTGCATGAATTGAAGTCACAAGGCTCTTCTTAGAGTGGGAATGCAGTGGAAACTTTTTTTTTTCCAAGGAGGAAGAAACAAAATTTACTGATTATCTTACTGATCTTTTCTAAGGTCTTTAAAAAGCATCATGTATACTGAGGAAGCTTGGGCTCTTAAAGACAGAGATGGATATTCTCCAAATATGGCTCTCAAAGAGTACATGTAGAAGGACATATAAGATGTAGAAGTTATGGGTAGTTTATTTTCTAATGTGTCCTAAGTTATAGCGAACAACTTTATTTTTTTAATGTTTATTTATTTTTGAGAGACAGAGAGAGAGAGAGAGAACGAGTGAGGGAGGGCAGAGAGAGAGAGGGAGAGAGAGAATCCCAAGCAGACTTCATGCTGTGAGTGCAGAGCCCAACACTGGGCTCGAACTCACAAACCATGAGATCATGACCTGAACTGAAATCAAGAGTTAGACACTTAAGCAGCTGAGTTACCCAGATGCCACTATAGCAAACAACTTTAAAAACATTTTAGAATGTATCTGAAAGAATTATTTGTTTAAGCCCCGTATTTAAAAATACTCTGAGACATTAAGCTAATTGTGGTACATTCCTATGATGAAATAGTCTGTACGCACTAAAGTTCAGGAGGTAAAACAGTTTATAAATACGGGAAAAGGCTGCTGTATATTTTTGAAAAGAGAAGCTGAAAAACAGAAGAAATACTACAATCTCATCAAACTCTGTGCATGTGTGTGCACAGTCACATGCTTGACTCAAAGAACAGACACCCAAATGTTAACTGTAGTAGTTACTGGATAATGATGTTGGAAATATTCTGCTAAACGTTCCTTAAGAGTAGGAGTTGGGGGGAAAACCCTAGCCTCTAAGATTCTAAAACACTCTCCCTTACCCCCAGATAACTGAAATAAAATATATAGGTAATTCACAGGACTGTGAATTCTGTTGAAGTGACTTCATACCACATCTAAAGACCCTGCTGGATAATGCAGTCCCACATTCTAACATCTATAATGCTCTAAAGATGAATATATATATATATTCATATATATGTATCTACACACACACACACACACACACACACATATATACACACACACACACATACTCTACAGAGATTTAATGATATTTCAATTATACTATCACATTAAACTTCATACCACATCTAAAGACCCTGTGGATAATGAAGTTCCACATTCTAACAACTATAATGCTCTAAAGATGAATATATATATACATTCATATATATACATATATATACTCATATATTCATATATATGTATGTACAAATACATATATATACACACACATACTCTACAGAGATTTAATGCTATTTCAATTATACTATCACATAAAATAATTCCAACTGGGATGTTTTTCTTCTGAAACCTTTCATAAAATGCCACAGATAAGTGATAAAGCATGCCTAAAAGGACTTAAGAGCTGCTCTAAGAGTGAGAGAAAGAAAACTTAGTTTTACTAATTTATTGAAAGTTTATTTACTTATTTTGAGACAGACAGAGCATGGAGGAGGGACAGAGAGAGAGGGAGACAGAGGATCCCAAGCAGACTCCAGGCTGTCAGTGCAGAGCCCAACCCAGGGCTCAATCTCATGAACTGTAAGATCAAGACCTGAGCTGAAACCAAGAGTCAGTTGCTTACCTGACTGAGCCACCCAGGCGCCCCAAGAAAACTTGGTTTTACATTGGCTTTTTCCTAATTTGTAGGTCCCTAGTTAACCTATTTTGTACTTTACTCAAACTCCATGTTTTCCCGGCCCTATTGTGAGCTCAATGAGATATTTCTAAAGAAATTGCCCAAAAAATAAACACCGTCCCAAATGCACACACAGGATCCCATTCAGTGGCCAGGTATTTGGGCCAGATGGCAGGAGAACAGATGGGAAACGCTGGCCTAGGGCAGGACAGCCCCGGGAAAACACGGAGAGCAGATACTGCCATGCTTAAATAGGGCAAAGAGTTCTTGATCTGGACTGGAGACACTGCTCTCCCGAGGACCGGAGACAACAGCTTCCCCAGCAGTGGGCACATGTGTTAGCTGGGCAGCTAACAGCGTTCACAGCCCTCTCTTCCCCGGTGGGGTTGTGAGCTGCTAGCTGCTTTTCTGTATTTATCAGAGCTGCTCCTGAAACTGGCCTCGGAGGAGACTTTGTTTTCTTGCAAATTCTGGACCCATTTGAAATTCATGGGTTTATAGTTTCAGCTTAAACCGAACTTCCTGGTGTTCAAATCTATTTCATCTTGGCAAAACAGGCCTTCCCAGTCTCTCTTGTCTCTCTCTTTCTCTGCCTTTTAAAGGGACCAACACTTTTAAGCAGCTTACACTTCAACAACAACAACAACAAAACCAAGCTCAAAGGGCATCTTGGACATCAAATAGCTCTTACAACACAACCTTTTGATGACTAGAGTGTAAATGAAGCAGAAACATATGGATTCCATTTCCCATAAATCACCCATGGTCCTTAAAGGAAAAAATCAAGGGAGAATGTACTCAGCACGACGTAGTCTGTTTGCTCGAACCTAAAACATCTGAAGAATACTTGGAGGCTGATGAATCCAAAATATTTACTCATCCCTATTTATAACATCAGGGAGGAAAGCCCTTGATTCGTGGCAACAGCTAAAGTGCTCACATGTGCAGAGTGGACAAAGAGCACCGAGCGTAAGCTTCAAGGTAACTGGGTTCATTTTCTTTTCCCTCTCCAGATACTCAAGTCAACATCAGATCAAAGACATTGAAGCCCTTACTTACACAGGCTTAGTGTGGCTTGGTATTGTGTGAGTTCTTCTCACCTTAAACAGTTGAGAGTTATTTCAAACTATTTGCTGTTGAGTCATGTTGGTGTCACCGTAGGATGACGCCAGGCTCCACCCATAATCTAGATCCGACCCCTTGTGGCAACAGCCCCACCACAAGGAATTCTGGCTTATGTTCCCTTCATAAAATCACAGCTGTTGTGCCTGCACAAGCCCCTGATGTTTTCATTAAAGGAATAAATCATGGGTGATTTTTATGGAGGAGAAATATCGCTCCTTGCCGGCATCTCTGATGGTCCTGATGTCCCTTTGTTGACACAAAGTCCCAGTCTTCCACTGAAAGCTACCTATAATGCTTTTGAATACTTCATTCTTGGAACTGGACAGGGGGGCTACATTATGCATGCAAGATTTTTTTTTTTTTTTTTTTTTTTTAATGACAGCAGCAGGAGCTCAAACGGGACATTTGTGAAGTTTGGCAAAATAGGGCCACTGGGTATCTCGTTCTTTTCTATCCAGTCATTGTTGACTTTTTGCCTAACTCAAAAATAGCACATGCCTGTCATCTCAAACCCTTCAACAACCCCACAAGGTAAATCACTCGTTTCCTTGTTTTACAGGTGAGGAAAAGGGTTTAGAAGCTTTAAGTGACTTGCAGGCTAATCCAAAACAAACCTGAGAATGAAATTGTATGTCTTTCTGGTGCTCGATGATTCCTTTTCCACTGCCTCCTTCAAGACCTGGCGGCCAGAAAGCCATAGAGTATAGGCTGACCTCAAAAGGCAGAGTCGCTTTCCAAGATATGCCTACTGTCATCAGAAAAGACTCTGCATAAGTTGAGTTTTACATACTGCATTGACTTTGAAAAGGTCTACATTTAAACATTTGCAGAAAGTGTCCTGTGGTAGATTAGAAAGAAAGGGTGGGGGATGTGCTTTAAATATAGACTTTTAAAACTAAAAAAAAGAAAAAAAAAAAAACGTATTTGACGCACCGGAGTCTTGCCCAACACATCTTAAATTCCTGAGGACTCTTTGCCCCCGACAGTGTTGCTTACCCTTGTTGTCATTATTGTTCTCTCTCCAAGTCATTATATATATATTTTTTGCTAATTACCCCACAAGTAGGAAATTTTAATACCACAGATAAACTTTATGTCTGATTATGTATTATGGCCCCTTGGTAGACCATAAACCAATATATTATCTAAAATTATGTCACCCCCAAAGCCAATTTATATCGCCTCTGTGGAATGCATGCTTGAGGGACATACATCCAAGGAAATGACAGTGTTGGCCTCTGGTAATCTATGGTCAAGCTGATACACAGAAAAAGAGACCAAGAGGACACAGAAACCATGGAAACCTTCCCAAACTTCCAAAACAAAAAGCACAGCAAATCATCCTTCAACTGTGTTCGAGAGAAAAGTGGATTTGTTTGCGAAGGCCAACGAGGGTATGGTATTTTCTGTGCACTTGAGCGGTTTATCATAGAACCAGAACTCTTGGAGCTGAAGTGGGCTTTAAAATAGCCTTCAGTGGGGCGCCTGGGTGGCGCAGTCGGTTAAGCGTCCGACTTCAGCCAGGTCACGATCTCGCGGTCCGTGAGTTCGAGCCCCGCGTCAGGCTCTGGGCTGATGGCTCAGAGCCTGGAGCCTGTTTCCGATTCTGTGTCTCCCTCTCTCTCTGCCCCTCCCCCGTTCATGCTCTGTCTCTCTCTGCCCCCCAAAAAATAAATAAACGTTGAAAAAAAAATAAATAAATAAAATAAAATAGCCTTCAGTTCTGCCAACTGTCTTCAGGCAAAAATACATAATTGGTCTGACTTTTTTAAATGGATGAGGCAGAGGACATTAACTTATTTATTTATGTGTCACAGATTTCAAACTCAGACTCTGAGAATAAAAAAAAAAAAAGGTCCAAGGACTCTCTTGCTTTATCCTTGGCATAATAAAAAACATTTCCAGGGGTGGAGAGAAGGCTTTCTTTCTTTTGATCTCCCTTCCTATGGACGGGGGATTTTTTTTCAGTATTCTATCTA